AAAAACTCTTGAATGGAGGATTGGTGGGGGGTGGGGGGAGGGTTGGGACTGACCGCGCCGTTGGAAGAGGGGGGGAGGCAAGGTGGGGTACTTTGATTGACAGATAGTGTTGAAGAATATTTTTTTATTTTTTATTAACTGTAGATATTTGTTTTAGCTCATAAAATTCATACAAATTATCCGGCCAGAATATAATTTACATTGCTGGAATTCTTATAATTTGGTGATCATTTTGAATATAAACAACATATATTTTGCATTAAACATACAATTTTTAGATAAAAATTGTTCTCTAGGTAATTATGTTATCTTTTGTGAAAAATATATGACATTTATATTCAAAATATTCCTGGTCTTACAAGGAATCCAGCAATGTCAATTATATTATCCTAACTTTAGTTTGAGGAATTATTTATTACTATACCTGGTTTTCCCCCAAAAATTTCTCAGAGGGAAGAGCCAGTGAGTGTAGTGTGAGAAGAGGGGGAGGGAGTTGAGTCCATTATTTGAATGGACATTAACTTGGCGACTGTATTTCTATATTTCTCTTAAGTATTAATTGTGTGCATGTACCATCATAAAATTAAGATGTTATTTTTACTACAACATAGTTATTTGTCGTCAAAAAGTGGAGTTTGGGGGTCGGGCTGGGTTCTATTGGAATTAATCCCATATGTTCTGTTATTCACTTAACGCGGTTTTCACTTAACGCGGGACCCTCTGGGTTCAATTGACCGCGTTAAGTGGGGTACAACTGTATATATATATATATATATATATATATATATATATATATATATATATATATATATATATATATATATATATATATATATATATATATATATATATATATATATTTCATTAGCCCAATAGCACGCGGACTTCTACATACAATCAACACCTCAACCCACCAGGATTTGAACCCACGGCCCACTAGCCCATGACTGTGACCGGGGAACGCTAACCTACTTCCATATGGCATCACGAAAATTGTGACCAAGTCTTAGGTTGCTCATTTATCTTTCTGCCTCATTTACACACAATTGCTGAGTTTCAATTGTTTCTCTTCCTTTGACAACACAACATACATACAATATAATGTTTCTCACCTTTGATCTTTTTTCCTTTTTGCATTTATTTATGGTTGGTTATTTAAAATAAGGCCAATTCACTTAAAGTATTGGCATCAAATTTTACTGACTGGTGTACACTAGTGACTCACTTAAGCGTCAGTTATTTAACTGGAAGTAATGTCGGTGAGTAAAATATTTCCATTTACTTGAAATAGATATGCCGATTTATTTGTTTATTTATATATTTATAATATACTGTACAGTTAACCCTCACTTTACGCGGTTAATGTAACCCGGAGGGTACCGCGGAAAGGGAGAAACGCGTAAAGTGAATAACATAACATATGGGATTAATTGAAATGGAGTCCAGGCCGATCACCAAACTCCACTTTTTGACGACACATAACTATGTTGTAGTAAAAATAACATCTTAATTTCATGATGGTGCATGCACACAATTAATACTTAAGAGAAATAGAGAAATACAGTCGCCAAGTTAATGTCCATTCAAATAATGGACACGACTCCCTCCCCCTCTTCTCACACTACACTGCTGGCTCTTCCCTCTGAGAAATTTTGGGGGGAAAACCAGGTATAGTAATAAATAATACCTCAAACTAAAGTTAGGATAATATAATTGACATTGCTGGATTCCTTGTAAGACCAGGAATATTTTGAATATAAATGTCATATATTTTTCACAAAAGATACATATTTACTCAGATTAAACATTACATCTAAAATTTGTATGTCTAATGCAAAATCTATGATGTTTATATTCAAAATGATCATCAAATTGTAAGAATTCCAGCAATGTAAATTATATTCTGGCCGGGTAATTTGTATGAATTTTATGAGCTAAAACAAATATCTTCAGTTAATAAAAAAAAAAAATATTCTTCAGACACTATCTGTCAATCAAAGTACCCCACCTTGCCTCCCCCCTCTTCCAACCGCCGGTCAGTCCCAACCCTCCCCCCCACCCCCCACCAATCCTCCCTTCAAGAGATGTTGGGTGAAAAATTTAGATTTTAACATTTTGTATTAAATAATACCTCAGATTAAAGTTAGGATAATATAATTGACATTGCTGGATTCCTTGTAAGACCAGGAATATTTTGAATATAAACGTCATATATTTTGCACAAAAGATAACATACTTACTCAGATTAAACATTTTATCTAAAAATTTTATGTCTAATGCAAAATATATGATGTTTATATTCAAAATGATCATCAAATTGTAAGAATTCCAGCAATGTAAATTATATTCTGGCCGGGTAATTTGTATGAATTTTATGAGCTAAAAAAAAAATCTTCAGTTAATAAAAAAAAAAATATTCTTCACACGGTAACAGATGGTCGGTCGCTGGTCCCTCCCTCCCTCCCCCCAACCCCCCACCAACGTCCCTACTAGATAAATGTGTGGGAATACCAGACTGTTTACCTTTTTAGTAATAAATAATAATTCAGACTAAAGTTAGGATAATATAATTGACATTGCTGGATTCCTTGTAAGACCAGGAATATTTTGAATATAAATATCATATATTTTGCACAAAAGATAACATATTTACTCAAGAGTAAACATTATATCTGAAATTTGTATGTCTAATGCAAAATCTATGATGTTTATATTCAAAATGATCATCAAATTGTAAGAATTCCAGCAATGTAAATTATATTCTGGCCGGATAATTTGTATGAATTTTATGAGCTAAATTAAAAAAAATTATACTTCACCCGTGTAAAGGGGTATACCCACCACGGAATGTGAGCATCCTGGGTTCTGGCAGGGCACCGCGTAAACGCGGAATGTGGGACCGCGTAAAGTGAGGGTTGACTGTAATATATTTAACACACTGCAAGTATTTTCTTTAATTATATACTTGTTTTGCAAAAGAGGGAGGCTACCATTATACCTGGTAGGTGAAGTTGACCAGACATTTATGGTGATCATTAAGGACCAAACTCCGAATCCATGACGTGACTTCTGTTCATCATTTATATCCTAAATTTACCACTGTCGGTAGTTTCAAGAATTAACTCCGTCATTTACTGAATATTCTTTGTAAAAAAAAAAAATTTTAAATGAATTATTTATAGGAGATAAGTATTATGATCAGTAAATATACAGATATGCATTACTGACCACCTCCGAACACAAGGACGGCTAAAAATAGCCACAGGCGGTCACAGTCAAGGTCACTTTCCTTTTCTTGTCACTGGCAAATGGGGGGGGTGATGATAGCAGCTGTGTATATTACCGGGGTATATTGTTCTTTTACGGTATGTTAGACTGGTTTATAATACATTTTTATTATTTTAATATACCGGTAATCTTCATTTTAATCCAACTTCCCAAACGTAAGTTTCAGTATAAAATAATTAGTGGTAGGACCTTGTGAGTGGTTTACCATGTTTCCATCACCACTCTTGACACGCTAAACCACAATATTTAAGAGGTAAGAATTTTATATCTGGTGCTTAAGACGACCCCCTAACTTTGGGCTGATTTTTTTTATGGTTCAAATTCCGTCTTATAGGCCGAGATATACGGTATGTCATCACAAAAATTGTGACCAAGTCCCAGGTTGCTGATCTGACTTTCTGCCTCATTTACACACAATTGCATGGTCTCAATTGTTTCTCTTACTATTGACAACACAACATACATACAGGTACATTGTTTCTCACTCTTGATTTTTTTTTTTCATTTTTGCATTTCTTTATGGTTCTTTATTAATGTTATTATTATTATGAGCATTATCATTATTAATATTATTACATTATCGCCCCAATGTGGGTCAGTGACCTGTGCCCGGGTGGGCTAATCCCCGTGTAAAAAAAAAAATTTTTAGGGGTTTGGGATTGACGGTTAATCGAGGGTCGGTTAATCGAGGTTTCATTCCTTTCACATTTATGTGGGATAAATCAAGGGGTACAGAAATTAAAGGAAATTAAAGAATCTAAGGAAAGTAGTGTATGACAAGGGTGGAAACTAACAGTAAATGACCCAAGACACTTTTCTTATCCTGAATCTTCGTAAGTAGTATACACAGTGAATCTTAATATTGTACTGTACTGTATCTACACCAATTCTCAACATTTCGTTTGAACTTAAGGAGTATACTGTACCAAGTTGAGTCATCAGGCTCATTTACAATATCAGTCATTGACAAAGCAACTCCATTGTTCAAGGTCCACAATTATTTTCCTGGCATTACCTTACATGATAACTGGATCTTACTAATTTACCTGTATAGTATAATCCAACCACCTCAATCAATCTTTTTCTCACTTTCAAGCATCCAGCCATAAATTCTATGAACTAATCTCAACCTACCATGCACTGTGTCCATACCAGGCTGTGCAGAATGTGTTCAGTACCAACTCAAAGGTCACTTATGTCCACCTAAATGGTGTCAGTTACCCTTGTCATGTAAAGTCATAACGCCTGTCACCTCACCTTACACCTGCAAAACATACTTCTCTTGCCAACTTCATACAACTTTCCTCTTTGCTTGAAAGGAAAGTTGTATGTAGCTGGTGTGAGAGGTGTGTTATTGTATAACACTGGAACATGAGAAGTTAAAGAGGATGGCATATGTAAGCTTAAGTGAGCTGAAATGAGAATAGTGAGATGAATGTGTAATGTAACATTCATAAATAGGAAACCCTATTCAAAGCTAAGAGGGTGTGTGTGTGTGTGTCTGTTGGTGAGGTTCTGTGCAGAAGTAGCTGAGATGGTATGGGTTTGTGAAGAGAATGGGGGAGACTAACTGGATCAAGAGATACAGGAGTTTGAATGTGGAGGGGAAGAAAGCTAGGAGTAAGCCCTGAATGAGAGATAAGGTCCTCATGAGAGAGGCAACAGGAGACCAATTAGCTTGAAAACTGCCATCAGATAATGGAAAATGGCTGTAAAATGGTACAGTTTTACTATTACTGATAATATCTTCCCTTACATTGTAAACAGATGAATTAGTAGGGTAACTACAGTATGGTTAAATAGCTATCCTTTTCAATCATTGAAAGTACATCCCTTTACAAAAATAGTATCTTTAAGATATGGCACATAAGCTGAAGCTAGACATTTATCTATAGTACTTTTGAGACCAAGCTGACTTGCTACTCGATAAACTATATCAGATTCTTCAACATGAACCAGCATGGATGCTACCCGTACTCGACGGTCCTTTGTTATACCATCATGTTCCAATCTGAAAATGAAAAAATACGATGATCATGATGGTGACTTTACCTGGGCCAGTGTTTGTCCAATTGTGAACAATCATATGATTTTTCACAACAGAAAAAAAAGTTGTTTGTGACATCCCCATCAATGTAAAAATCAAATCTGGTTAAGATAGAAGTGAGGAAAGATGTAAGTTAGCATGCCCCCTCTGTATATGAACTAAGGAGAACTAGTGCATCAAGCCATTCAAGGTACAATACTGGTGCAGTAATTTGAAAGGTAGAGTAATAATCACAGTTGTAACTAACTATAATGTCTTTTTCTAACAATGTATCTTTTCATTCCACTCAACACTTAGAAGTTCAATCACAAATTTACTCAGAGACAAGTAAACACTTTCCCAAATTCTTATAGCATAAATGATAAGTTTCCAAATGTCAATGTTCTTTTTCACACAAACCAAAATAAAAAGAAAGCAAACTGACTTTTCAAATGCACAAGTTAAAAATACCGTACTTAAACAAAAATATAAAAAAATATTAAAATTACTTACTTCTTCACTACCTCGAGCATGATTTCCGGAGAAAGTTTAAAAGTGGCCAGATAATCAGTAAGATATGATTCATCACCATTCTTAACATATTGTTGGTAGAGAGCTGTGCCCCAGTCCACAGTAAAGCTATAGGCACGTCCCACCAGCTGAGCTTCACACACACTGTAATGTGTAAAACAGGTAAGAAAATATAAGTGAGAGTAACTGGTATGGCTGAGTGATTGAAGAAATTGTATTTTAGATAAGCTTGTTGGAGGATGTTAATACAGTGGTCCCTCGATTAACGAACGGTTCAATTAACGAAATTTTGGTTAACGAATTAGCTCCCATCACGATTTTCAGTTCCATTAACAAACAAAACTTCGATTAATGACAGCCTTACGAGAAACACGCTTTGTTGTGCTGATCAGCTGATCGGCTAGTCCGCCAATACAGTAATTGGTTCTATGTTTACATTCGTTTCCAGTGGAGTAAATATCAAGAAAGTTGTGCTCTTGAATATTTTTGCATTTTTAATATTAAAATTACTGGTCATTCTGAAATTTAGTTAACATATTGATAATATATACAGTACAGAAATATTATGAAACATGAAGAAGGCATTAGAACCAATGCACTCTGTAAAGAATATGGCAGTCGATGGACTGCCTCTACAATCAGCGGTTTGATATGTAAACAAAGCTGCCGGGAATATGACATACACACCTCAAAGTAAGTTAAAATACAGTATTCTATTGTTTTTTATTTATTATTGTACAGTATACTGTACAGTACAGTACTGTATTTAGTTTATATTTAATGTTTTGTTAATTCCATTACCGGTATACAGTACAGTACTTTGTATGTACAGTCATGCGCCGGTTAACATCCTAGATACGTTCTTGGAAACGTGACGTTAACCGAAATGAACGTTGTCCGATCATCACATAAACTTTGTATTTATACTTACGTGTATGTGGAATACTATACTGTATACGTACATATACACTTTTACTCTTAAATCACTACTATAATGTGATACAGGTGATTAATTTTTCTCTCTTGTGCAAAATACATGACGTTAATATTAAAATTATTCACTGTTTTACAAGGATTCCAGCAACGCTGGGCAGATGGGGGAGAGGGAGGGAGGGAGCAAGCAAGCGTGGGGGGAGGGGAGCGGTTTGACAGTTGGCACAGGTCCAGGCCTAACGCGTATATATTTATCAGTTCTTAAGTGACTAAGCTTCTCTCCTATAAAAAGCCAGTGAAATGACCTGGGTGAATATAATTTACATTGCTGGGATTCTTGGAAGATGTTGATTTATTTAAATATAAACAACCTATAATTTGCACTAGACATAACAATTTTAGTACTGTAATCAAATACCCTTAGTACATGTGCACTCCAGCTTTGCACTAAAGTCATTTACAGTATTTCTTTTACGTTTCTTTTAGTATGGTGTGTGCATGTAAATGAATGAAAATAAATGAAGAAATTTATGTAAATCTACCCAAAAATACAGTTGAAAAACTTTATATTATAAAAGGTACTACAGTATTGTACACTAATGTCCTACAATTTTTATATCTTGAGCAAAATATATGACGTTTATATTCAAATTATTGGCAGTCTTGCAAGGATTCCAGCAATTCAAATTATAATCTAACTTTAGTCAGAGATATTATATAAAATAAACACCTTAAAGCATAAAGTTATCACCATCTTTTGTCTGGGAACACAAGGAGGGAGGTAGCCAGCGAGCGTAGGAAGAGGGGGGGTGGGGGGGAGGGGGCAGGAGGTGAGGTGACAGAGCATCTGGTGTTTGTTTATTTATTTGAGATAAGATTTGACAGTTGGCGCTGAAGGCCTGGGTGTTTATTTATCATTACTAAGAGTGACTAAGCTCTTCTCATAATTTGCCACCCAAACGACCTGGGTGAATATAACTTACATTGCTGGGATTCTTGTAAGATAGTGATTTATTTGAATACCTGTATAAACAATCTATATTTGCAATAGACATAACAATTTAAGTACCATAATCATTTAGTACATGTACAGTACAGGTTTGCAGGTCCATTGTTAACCGAGGGACCACTGTATTGCAGTGTACTTGTACTGTACAATATTGACTAAATTCACTAGATAACGTACACACATCCTTGACTACCGAAGGGTCAAGACGTACCTGGCGCTCCTCTCGGAGCAGCCAGGTCAACTGTTAAGTTGGCCTATACCAACCCCCTCCCCTGAACCCTCCTCCCCACAGGAATATCAACAAGTTCTCGCCAGAAGTTACAATTTCATTTAGGAAAGGAACGGAACCAGTGTTAAACAGAGGTGAACAGTGCTTAAGTCAGTGAGAACAACTCAACAGTAACAGTCCCAAGTTAACCTTCACACAGTGAGGTCCCAGGTACCCAGTGATAACGACCCGTGAGACCCAACAACAACCAGCGATGTGCTAATCTGTCTATGATAGGAAGGCCTGGGACCAAACCTCACTCATATACCACCATCTGTGAGGGAATTACTACCCCACATGTCCCTCATAACACCATATGTGAGGGAATTACTACACCACGTCAAGTCCCTCATCACACCATCTGTGAGGGAATTACTACACCACGTGAGGTCCCTCATAACACCATCTGCGAGGGAATTACTACACCACGTCAGGCCCCTCATAACACCATCTGTGAGGGAATTACTACACCACGTGATGCCCCTCATAACACCATCTGTGAGGGAGTTACTACACCACGTGAGGCCCCTCATAACACCATCTGTGAGGTAATTACTACATCACGTGAGGTCCCTCATAACACCATCTGTGAGGTAATTACTACACCACGTGAGGTCCCTCATAACACCATCTGTGAGGGAATTACTACACCACGTGAGGCCCCTCATAACACCATCTGCGAGGGAATTACTACACCACGCCAGGTCCCTCATAACACCATCTGAGGGAACTACTACACCACGTGAGTTCCTCCTAACACCATCTGGGAGGGAGTTACTACACTACGAGTTTGCTGTTCAACACCTACATTAATCTGTATGTTCACTGTATGTTCCTTTACCTTTCTCTAATGAAGGCTTTTGTTAAACCACCAATGTATGTAATAAGTCATTTATGTCCAATGTATATTTTCAGCCTTCGGGCTGCAGAATTTTTTCAATAAACCGTTAATTATTATTATTATTATTATTATTACAACTAAGGGTTGGTAAAACTTGTCAAGTAAGTGAGTGTCAAGTCTGTCAGCATGAGTGGCACATGTGAGTGCTTGTGTCCCCCATCATAGGAATCCGTTTTCTCTCGCTTCAGGACGCCTGAGTCCGTTTTCTCTTAATCTTAAGAGTGCAGTACACCAGAGACTTTGTTATTCCTTAGTAATGACACAGAATTTGAAATTGCAACTGGGGTTGCAATTGCTGAGGCAACTAGATATGTCTGATTACAGCAAATGTGTTATTGTCAATTTGTAGGTGAAAGATTTTATCCTCAATAGATGTAGGTTAACATTACACCTGGAGGCAAATGCTTACTAAAGTCTAAGGAAGGATATTCCTTTAACACATAATAACTGGCCAGTATGGGAAGGATCAAAGGATCATCGTGTCTCCGTCAGGGGATTGTGGAGTGGGGGACGTATATGTAATCGGACGTTGTTCAGTTGGACGTTAACCAGCGCATGAATCTATACTTTTTCTGTGAGTTGGAACCAATTACCCAATATCCCATTGAAATAATTGATTCAGTTAACGAAATTTTCGGTTAACAACCGACTCTGTGGAACCAATTGTGTTCATTAATCGAGGGACCATTGTATGGGTAAATGTGCGAGGAAAGTTGATGAGCATGCATATGTAAAGGGATGTAGAAAGAATTGTGTGAGAAGGATGTTAATATGGGTGAGGATAAAGCTTTTAAAGTAGTTATACACCTGTTTCACTTTATACATAACAGTATTTTGCAGAAACAAAATGTTTAAATTATGGACAAAATTTATTTAACCTGAATAAATTATCAATAACATAGCTGTAGGGTTGCCAGGTACAGGCACTACAAAGGCAAAATTTATGACCAGCCAACTAAAAAAGAAATACTGTATCTATGGAAGGAGAGAAAATTTTGCAATGTATAGACCCACACATGCAGGATCTTTGGACCTAGAATAAACTGGTTTTGAAGATTTTCTGGTTTCCTGGGTCCGAGGTTATCCATGGTACCTTAGGCCTACCAGGTCTCTCTCTCTCTCTCAATTGACTGTTTGTTTTGTTTCTTAAGTAACAAATTTAAGAAAATATCGTATGTATAATTTAAATTACGAAAAACAAAACAAATACGCCCTGTAGTCTATTTAGAAGTTGAGTTCCCTAAAAAAGAAAAGAAAAAGTTAGTAATATCCCAAAAGCTGGAATAACTGGTGCAGAACATTTCCGTATTAGAGAGACGTTCCTGTATTCTGACGAATCCTTATCATGGGAAAATCTTGCATATATATAGAATTTTTCCGGGCATTAATGAATGTTTCAGTGCCTAAACTACTCGTCTGTTATGTTTTCTCAGATTAATTGGGGGAAAAGGCCAATTTTCCGAGTAGGCTGGAGTCTGTGATAAGAGGATGAGTCTAAGTGTGATCTAGGTAATTTTTTTTTTTTTTATGGGAAGCTTTTTGAAGCAAGATGGAAACACAGAAGAAGGCAAAGCATTGCACAGTTTGGCTGTTTATTCAATCAACAATACTTATTTATGAACTGTACTGTACTTCAAGAAAATATAGTAATATCTCTGTTAGCTGGAATTCCTCAAACCCGGAAATCTCTGATAGCCGGAATTGAAATTTGCTTGGAAAATCATTCCCAAAGCCGGAATTTTAAAAAAATTTCCGGCTATAGTAAAAAATTTTACAAGGTTGAAAATCAAGAGAATTTTCTGAAAATGTTTTGAATAAAGATGAAAGTTAATTAATTTATATATATTTTTTCTTTGGGGGGACGACCTGACCTACTCAATGTCAGGTGGAGGTAGGGTGGGGGATTAGTGGTCTCATATTACTGACCTTCTGATGGAATGTCAGGTCACCCTTTCTTGGGTGGGGGTTTAGTGGGTCTCATGACCTGACGATGTCTTGAATAAACACGAAACCTAAAGTATTTTTAGGGAGGT